GACACTTGAAGCAGGATTGGCGCAAGACAGGAAAGGAGGTACAGCTTAGGCAGTGATCATTTATAAACTCAACAGATATTTCCCGAGCCCCTAATCTAACCAGCTCTTGTGAGGAGATGCTGAAGACAGAGCCACAGCTAAGACATCCCCAGTGCCTACCTTCCTGGTCCAGTGTCACCAGAGACAGACTTGAGGGAAACCCAAGGGAATGTAAAAGCCCAGAGGAATGCCTGACACGGGTGGGGCAGTCCAAGAGGCTTCCTGGAGGAGGAGGCTGTCAGCCGAGACCTAAGAATGAGTAGGAGCTTGTTCTGTGGAAGGTAGAAGCAACAGCATATGCGAAGGTTCAAGAAACCTGGCTCTTTAGAATAACCAAATGACTTTCATCAAAAGTTGGCAAGACTTTAGCCTCGAGTCAAGTTCATGCCCGTTCCAGGACTTAGTTCCAGTGGTGGTGGCAGGAGTAGGGGGACAGGGGCCTGAGGGACAGATAAGATAGGGGGAGATTGAGGGGTTCAGGGACAGGAAGAGGGGCGGGAGGCTGTAGGTGTTCATGTCACCCGTGGGCACCAGGCCACCACCCTAAGGCTCAGCACCGCCCTCCCACAGGTCAAGGAGCTAGGAGTGGTCATGTACAACTGCAGCTGCTTAGCTCGAGACCTGACCAAGATCTTCGAGGCCTACTGGTACCTGGGCCAGGCGGGCAGCTCCATCCCGGCCACCTGGCCCCGGCCCTATGACACCCGCTACAATCAGGAGACACCAATGGAGATCTGTCTCAATGGAACCCCTGCTCTGGCCTACTTGGCGGTGAGTCGTTAGGGGGAGGGGCTGGGCCACTCACGGTCCCTGTCCAGCCCCACCTAGTGATGTGGGAAGGGGGGCAGGAAGAGGGTCCCGACCCCTCACTTCTGTTCAGTCTGCTTGGTCTGGGGCCAAGGCTATGTCCCAATCTCCCCAGGCCTCAGTGTCCTCTCCATGGTGGCTGTCAAGATTATCTGCAACCTTTAGGGCTAATGGGGAAGTCCAGCTGGGGTTTATGCACACTGAGCCCCTAGGGGAGCCCTGCGCTATCGAGCAGTCCAGTATAGCTACATTCGGGTCTTTGCCCTTACAAGTCAGTTAAAATTAAACATTGCTCAAAGTTCAGTTCCGGAACTGCACAGACGCACATTTCAGGTGCTGAGTAGGCCCAGGGAGCAGACAGCTGCCATGTTGAATGGTGCAGCCGTAGAACGTTTCTGCCACCATGGAAAGTTCTCTTGCCTGTGGCAGATACTGAGCTCTGAGGCAAGGCACTATTGTTTGCAGCTCTTGGATATCGCCCCCATTTGAGGTGGCCCATCTGGGTCCCCTTCCATCCCCTTCTGCGCCAGTCACCTGGCCAACCCCAGAGTCATTGGGGAGGGCCCCAGAAAGGCCTGGGCGCAGGGACACGTGGTTCATTGGGGTCCTTTTCTCCATTGGTCTCGCACAGAAGGCTAAGGGTTCCCCCATGGCCACTTCCCCTTCAGAGCTTGAGTTTGCTCCATCTGTCACGAGGAGGGAGGGAAGCGGGTAAAGGGCCTGGTGTCGAATGGCACATAAGGAGTGTCATCTGTGTGGGCTGTGAGCAAGTCGGGGACACGGATGATTACAGGAGAAGTCCTTAAACCTGAACATGCCTCAGAAGCATGAGGAGGGCTGGTTAAAACCCAGATTCCTGAGCCCCACCCCTGCACCCTGGTTCAGTAGGCAGTGTGCAGCGAAGGCCCAAAATTTGCAAATTTAACAAGTTCTAGATGATGGCTTTGCTGCTGGACCAGAGCCCTTATGTCTAGAACCCCTGTGTTAGAGCAAACATTCTGGAACCAAGCAGCCTGTGTGCAAATCCTGGCTCCATTTGTCAGCTGTGTGACCTTAGGCAAGCCACTAACCCTCTCTGAGCCTCAGCTCCCTTGCCTGTAAAATGGATATGGCAATTACCCCCCCTTCATGGAGGCTGTAGGATTCAGTGAGACCCACAGGACCGGCTTGAGACAAACTGCATTTGTGGGGTCCACGATGACGGCACCCTTAGCAGGCACGTGTCTTGACTGTCCCCTCACCCCCCAGAGTGCGCCCCCACCACTGTGTCCCAGTGGCCGCACCCCAGATCTGAAGGCTCTGCTCAACGTAGTGGACAATGCCCGGAGTTTTATCTACGTCGCAGTCATGAACTACCTGCCGACCATGGAGTTCTCCCACCCGCGCAGGTACAGCGGCCTCGCGGATGGGGCTCAGGGAAGGGACCCACCAGGGGCAGGAGAGGGAGTGACCAGGCCAGAAAGCAGGCAGGACCAAGGCAAAGGGACAGATGGTGGGAAGCCACAAGGAGAGGCAGAGGAGACAGGGAGAGGGGGTCTAAACCCTTGAGACAGAAAGTGGGGACAGAGAAAAGGCTGAGAATCCTGGGGTTGGGGATGGGGCTGGGGGTATGGGCTGGAGACAGGATGAGTGGCTTGGGGACAGGACTGGGAGCCAGGAGTAGGGCAGTCTTGGGGTTTAAGGGTGCCTAGAAGCTAGAGTAGGCTCCCTGAAGCTCAGGGGAAGGCCTTAAGTAAAGCTGCCCTCCAAATCCTCCACCCCTGTCCCCAAGGTTCTGGCCCGCCATCGACGATGGGCTCCGGCGGGCTGCCTATGAGCGGGGTGTCAAGGTTCGCCTGCTGATCAGCTGCTGGGGACACTCTGAGCCGTCCATGCGGGCCTTCCTGCTCTCCCTGGCTGCCCTGCGTGACAACCATACCCACTCCGATGTCCAGGTGGTAAGCACCCACCACACACCCAGCCCCCAGCCCTAGTGCCAGACGATACTGAAGGCGCAGCTCTCGTGGAGCTCACCTGTCACCTGACAGGGCTGACCCTGAGGGATGGGGCCACGCCGTGACTGGGGGATCCCGAGTCGGGCCAGGATGGTGGGGCCCAAGGAGAGGGGGCAGGGCCCTGACGGAGGTGGCATCATGGCCAGAATAGGGGGGACTCAGAGGAAGCCTCTACCCCAGCCTGGGGGAGGGGGTCGAAGAGGACTTTCTGGAAAAGGGGACATCTGAGGCAAGACCTAAGGGACGGATAGGAGCCACACGAGAAGGAATGACAAGGGAGGCAGCTGGGTCTTCCCTTTCAGTGAGTGTTACTGATACCCCAGCCCAGATCCCAGGGCTTCTGCACCCCCACCCTGCAGCTCACGCTCCTTCCTTTTCTGCCCGCCCCCTCAGAAACTCTTCGTGGTCCCTGCGGATGAGAGCCAGGCCCGAATCCCGTACGCTCGTGTCAACCACAATAAGTACATGGTGACCGAACGGGCCACCTACATCGGTGAGTGTCCCAAGCGCCCCCAGGGGGCAGGAGGGGAAGCAGAGCACAGCTCTGGGCTCTGACTCTCTGACCGCCCCCCCCATCCCTGCCGTCACCCCCACCCAGGAACCTCCAACTGGTCTGGCAGCTACTTTACGGAGACGGCGGGCACCTCGCTGCTGGTGACGCAGAATGGGCGGGGCGGCCTGAGGAGCCAGCTGGAGGCGGTTTTCCTGAGGGACTGGGACTCTCCATACAGCCATGACCTTGACACCTCAGCGGACAGTGTGGGCAATGCCTGTCGCCTGCTGTGAGGCCCTGGTCCGGCAGACAGGCTGAGGCCTGCACGGCCCCTGTGGTCCCAGATGTCCTGGGTCCTGGCCCCTGTCCCTGTGCCCCTGCTTCTGTGTGCCCCATCGTGGCTCCACTGGCTCTCTCCCCTGCTCTCCCACCTCTATCTCGGTCCCTGCTGGCCTGATGCTGTGGCCCCGGGACCCAGCCTAGCTGGGGGAGGGATCAGCCCCCAAAGAAATGGGGGTGCATGCTGGGCCTGGCCCCCTGGCCCACCCCCCTTTCCAGGGCAAAGAGGGCTCCAGGTTATAATAAGAAGTAAATAACTTGTCTGTACAGCCCATGCCGGACCTGAGTGATGTGAAGTGGGGCGTCGGGTAGGACACGGCCAGCATACCCCTCTCTTGGAGACCTGGTGTTGGCAGAAACCTCGGCGTATTACCAGCATGGTTTGGCAGGTCCTGAGGCCACAGCACGTGCTGGGCCCTTAGCATGGATTTGGCATGTGCTGAGCACACAGCATGGGACTGGCGTGTGCTGAGCCCGAGTGTGTGATGCCCATGAGCCAGTATGTGCTGAGCATGTAGCGTGTGACCACACGGCCTGGCATGAGCTGAGCCTCGCACAGCCAGCACAGGGTAGCAAGCACCACACACTTGGCACGTTCCCAGATGGGGACGCGCCGGACCATCACCGGCTCCCAAGGGTGGCCTCGCAGGTCCAAACACCTCAGGGTGCACCAAGCATAAACTGATGGCTGCCACGGGAATTTACACGTAGCCATGACCCAAACAGCGGTGTGGGCATGCCAAGCCTATACACGTGGCAAGGGCAGGTCGACAGATGAGACCTTGGCATTGGGCAAGCTCGGATTGGCACCTGCTGAACACCGGGAATGTTCTGAGGACGGATCCTCACGTGCCAAACGCTTAGCATATTCAGGGGATGGGTCAGCCTGTCCCTCACAGTGCGATGGCAGCCCAGCCTCCATCCTGAGCCAGGGGCCAACGGGGCGCAGCATCAGAGAGCAGGGCCCTGGGAGGCCAACCCGAACCCCTCCCCAGCTCCAGTCCAGGCCTCAGGCGGGGCTGCTGAACAGTTCTTTATTGAAATGGGCAAGGGCAGCAGGGCCGAGGGCATGCTCAGGGCCAGCGGGGGCAGCCCCCTTCCTGTGTCCCTTTGGCCCAGGGGGGAGGGGGAGGCGACGGGCCAGACCCCAAGGCCCTCCTGTGTTCAGGGGGTATGTGCTGGCATGCACCACGGGCGAGGGTATTGGGGGATTTCTGGATAACTATCTTTCTGTAAGAATAATTTGTGGGTTTAGGAAATGGCTTCTCAGGAGGGGATGCCAGCCCCACTAGCACAGCCTCCAGTGATGGGCAGGGGTGGGGTCACCATCAGTGGTGCCCACTGACGTGCTGCAGAAAGCTGGTGGTCCGGGAGGGACCATGCGGGCGAGCGTGGCGGGCTGGGAGCCCCTGAGCCCGTGGCCCCCTGACACCCTCCAGGGTCCAGTCTGGCTCATTCAGCCATTCCCCAGGGCAGCTGCTGGGGTCAAAGAGCTCAGGGCCTGGCCTCTGTTAGGAAGAAGAAAGGACCATCAGCCAAGGAGCCCCCGACCCTGGGAACCACCAGCCTGCCCCTCCTGGACTCTTCTCCAGTCCCATCTGAACCCTTGTCACTTCCCCAGGGCAATTTTGTAGATCCCAAATGCAACTTAGCGGCTCAAACAGTGTGTGCAGAAACCTTAATGTGTTCTGAGGTACTATTAGGGTCTCTGAGGCTTTGTCATTTCTTCTTGGGGTGGGTAAGCCCCTGCTAAGGCCTTGTTCTGAGTGCTGGGCCTTTATCACTTCCAATAGGGGGATTAATGCATTCTGACTTTCTATACATCAGGAAGGTGGATTAGTGTGTGCTGAACCTTCTATCCTGAATATGGGTTAGTGTGTGCTGAGCCTTCTATCTTGAATGTGGGTTAGTGTGTGCTGAGCCTTCTATCCTGAAGTGATCAGTGTGTGCTGAGCCTCACCACCTTGTAAGGGTGGGTAAGTATGTGCTGAATGTTACATCCTGAGTACGGGTTACTATATGCTGAGCCATAGCAAATCCTAATCATATTCTGAGTGTGGGTTAGTGTTTGCCGAACCTTGTCACATCCTGAGAGCAGACTCGAATGTGTTGAACCCTGAGCCAGCTGCAGCCTGTACCCACCATCCTGGAGCTCGGGGAGGCCCTGATCCCAGAACCACCCACAGCCTACAGGCCCACTAGGCTTACATCAGCATCCATGGTCATATCCTTGACGTCTGGTCCATCCCCATCCCGCTGTGGGAGGCTGGGCGGCTCGGCCGAGGCCCCGCGGCGCTCTCCTTCGGCCCAGCCACTGCCCCGGCATGGTCCCTCGTCCTCGGGGGAGGCCTGGCTCAGCCGGATGAGGTTGCTGAAGTTGGAGTCAGACTTGGAGCCTGTGGGTGGCTTGCGGGCCTTGTGGCGACCCGCCAGGCGGCTGCCGTAGAAAGCCAGGATGGGCTCGGGGCCCGAGTCAGGCACCCGGCGGCCAGTGGCGGCCGTCTTGAGTGGGGCCAGCATGTCAGGAACCACGTCGGCTCGGGTCTCGCCCCACAGCCCGCATCCCACCTCCTGCAGACTCAGGTCGTCCAGCTGATCGATGGCCCTCTGCATGCCTGGTGCCTTCTCCTCACAGAAGAAGGGCCCGCTGCCCACCACGCTGCCTATGCCCACGGCCTCCTCCTCCTCGGCCAGCCGGTAGTAGGGGGGCCCATCCTCCACGGCCGCCACGCCGGGCGTTGGCGGCTTGCCTTCCACCTGCAGCGAGAGGCGGCAGCCGCGCAGCGAGAGCTGGTAGTAGCGGGTGGTCTCGTGGGCGCTGCGCAGCTGCTGCATGGACACGAAGGGGTGGCGCAGGGCGGCGCTGGGGCTGATGCGCTCGTGCGACTCCCACGTCAGCATGCGTTTGATCAGCTCCACCATGCTCTTGAGGTCGGCGAGCTCAGCCAGCGCCTCGCGGTCAGGGAAGGTCAGCCGGCTGGCTGCTCCACCGCCATTCACGGTCTCGATCTGGTCCAGTGACTTGAGCATGTACTTGCGGCGCTCCAGGGGGCGCACCTGCTGGGACACGGGGGGTGGGCACGGGGCTGACACTGAGTCCGGGCCCTTGGGCTCCTGCTGTGGGGCCCACGTATGACCACGCCATCCCCGCCCCCAGCTTCCAGTCTGCCCTCCAGTCTTGTCCGGGCCTCTCTTGCGGCTGTGAAGCCCACACACCCAAACCTAGACTTCCAGTTCTGCCCAGGATCTGACCTGGAGCTCTCTTGCTGCGGGGAGGGCCACACCCACTCCCTATGGCCAGAACCCCTCTCATCTGACCCAGCACCCTCCTGCTGCTACAGGAAACCTACCAGAGTGGGCCCTTTGGTCTTCCTGCCATCTCACCCAGAGTCTCACTGAGCCAAGTTTCACTTCTCCCTCAGACCTCCAGTCCTCTCCAGAGCCATGGGTGCAGCCCCAACCAGCCACCAGCCCTCAACCTCTAGTCCCTCCTTGGAGTCAAATCCAGATCCTTCCTGCTCCTGGGTGCCACACCACCAAGCCCAGCCAGCCAGGCCTCCAGGTGGTCCAACCGGCTTGCTACACTAGCTTGTCGACCCCCCTTTGCCAGGAAACTCAGAACAGCCGCCATATACTTCCAGTGCCACCTTGGGTCTCACCCACATCTCTCTTGCTGTCACTTGCTGTGATTTGAGCTGACCCTCTAATCTCCAAGTCCTCTCTGAGGTCTAGCCTAGATTTTTTTTCTCGATGAAGCAGACCCCACATGACCAGCCCTCACCCTGCCTGCTCCACACCCTCCCCCCCTCCCCCACCCACCTCAGCCTACCTTGGTCTCAGCCAGGTAGTCGGCAGAGGACTTGAGCTGCCAGGGGTTGCTGGCATCAGGGTGTGGGTTGCGCTTAAAGAAGTGGTGCGCCTTGCGGGCGGCGTGCAGCAGGTGGGACTTGGGCAAGCCCTGGGTCTCACAGATGTAGCGCACCTGGTCGTACTCGTTGTTGCCTGGGTAGAGGGGCCAGCCCAGGTGCAGCTCGGCCATGACGCAGCCCAGGGACCACACATCCACCTTCTCGCAGAAGGGCAGCCCTAGCAGGATCTCGGGGGCCCGGTAGAAGCGCGACTGGATATATGGCTCTTTGACATAGCGCACCTCGCTGAAAATGCTGGCTGAGCCGAAGTCTATCACCTGCCGGCGGTGGGGGTTGGGGGAGGGGCCGGGGACGACCGATCAAGGTCTCCCCTGTGGCTCTGACCAGTGTCTTTCTGCCCCTGCCATCTGACTGTCACTGTGTCTGTGAGTCCTTATCTCTTGTTTATGTCACTGTCTTCGCTCATCTCTGTCTCTGGTTTTGTGTGTTTGTCTCTCTGTTTCTAACCAATAGAACATATGCCTTTAGGACCCCTCTCTTCGTCTTTCACTCCACACCTTGTCCATCAGCAAATCTTGTCGGCTCCACCTTCTGAACGGATCCAGACTGGGCAGCCTCCCCATCCCCAGCCTTGGCTCCCCCCAACCCCACGCCACCCTGTCCTGGGGCATCTCCCACTGAGGCCGATGTGGGGGCCTCTTCAATGGGCTCCCTGCTCCTCCCCTCTGCACCCCAGTTCACTGGTCATATGCACGCCACTGAGGGATCCTGTGAGCACCTGAGTCCGATCACATCCTTCCCCTGCTCAGAATCCCTCCATGGCTTTATCATCCTATGATAAAAGTCAACTTTCCCATGGTGGCCCCCAAGGCTCGAGCAATCTGGCCATTGCCCATCACCTCTCTGGCTTCAGCTCCTCCTGCTTCCCCTCTCTCACAGGTGTCTCACTGTCCCTTGAACAAGCCAGATGCATTCCTAGTGCAGGGCCTTTGCACTAGCTGTTCCCTCTGCCTGGCATCTCTTCCCCCAGGTGTCCACATGGGTCACTCATCTCAGGTCTCAAAAGTCAACTCACTGAGACCTCCCCTGGCCATCCTATAAAAAAAACACCATCCCCCACGGTTCCTATCCCCCTTCCTGGATCCCTGCTTTTCTCCAGAACTTTTTTTTTTAAGACTTTATGTATTTGACACACAGAGAGAGAGAGAGAGATCACAAATAGGCAGAGAGGCAGGAAGAGGAAGAGGGGGAAGCAGGCTCCCCGCCGAGCAGAGATCAGCAGAGAGCCTGACACAGGGCTCCATCCCAGGACCTTGAGACCATAACCTGAGCCGAAGGCAGAGGCTTAACCCACTGAGCCACCCAGGCTCCCGTTTTTCTCCAGAACTCTTAACACCATTTCACATCCTATATGTTTTACCATTCAGTCAAGTTCATTGTCTCTCTACCCAGCTAGGACGCCAGTCTGGGGATTTTGTCAGTTCACTGTTGCATCCCTAGGTGCCTAGAACAGTGCCCGGCACACAGTTAGGGGCGCAATCAGGAGAGAATGAATGAATGAATGAGGGGGCTTATGTCCCTGGCATGCTCTTTCCTTCCACCTCTTTTTTGTATCACTCTCTTTCTTTCTTTGCCTCTTCATTGCTTGCCTGTTCCTGGTGTCTCTCATCTCTCTCTGTCTCTACCTCGATGTCACCTGCTGGGAAGACACCTCCAGGAAGCCCCACCCTCTTCCGTCTTCATCATCAGGCACCCGGAGGGGAAGGCGGAAAATCTTTCTCTCCTGATGCCGCTGGGAGGCGCCCTGTGCTACTTTCACTCTGAATCTCCAAGACTCTCTGGACCCCTTCCTCAGTTTCCCCCTCTTAGTTTCTCTGCTTTTCATTCAGCCATCCTCGTGTTCTGTCTGCAGAAGGTGGGATGATGGGAGAGTTATTAACCTGCACTCTGAGTGTGGGTGGCAAAGGCCTGAATCTGAGAGCGTGAGGGCCCTGGGGCACTTGTCGGCCATGGGATCCGTTCATTCATTTGTTCCACAGACACAGGAAGGAGGGCCAATGCCGGCCAGGTGCTGTGGATGCATCCTGTCTGCCTTCTGCTGTGTTTGTGGGAGTCTTTCCTTCCTTGGGGCTCTGTCCTTCCATTTCCTAGGGCAAAATGATCTGCCTTTTCCTGCCTGCCTCTCTCCCTGTGACTCTTTCATTTCGCATTGACTCCGCCCCCTCACTGTGCCGGGAGATGCCGAAGACACCGTAGTGGCCACAACTGACCTGGTCCTGCCTTCACAGCCCCGCCCGCTCCTGGTCAAGACCCTTCACCAGACAGTGATAAGCTCAGAAGTGGACAGAGGGGCCAGGGCTGGGATGGGGGACACAGGTGGGGGTCCAGGGCAGAGGAGCTGGGGCTGGTTGGGGGAGCCCAGGGAGCTTGTGACATGCATAAGAGGTGCTTCTGTGTGCCCAAAACAGGGTCAGGTCCTGGGGTCAGGTCCAGAGGAGGTCAGTAAGTGTTTGGGTTTTGTTTAAAGATTTTTATGTATTCAGGGGTGCCTAGGTGCCTCAGTGAGTTAAAGCCTCTGCCTTCAGCTCAGGTCATGATCCCAGTGTCCTGGGATTGAGCCCCGTGTTGGGCTCTCTGCTCAGTGGGGAGCCTGCTTCCCCTCCCCTCTCTCTCTGCCTGCCTCTCTGCCTACTTGTGATCTCTGTCTGTCAAATAAATAAATAAAATATTTTTAAAAAATGATTTTACATATTCATTTGAGAGAGGGAGACAGAGACAGAGAGAGCACAACAGGGGGAGCAGTAGAGGCAGAGGGAGAAGCAGGCTCCCCGCTGAGCCAAGACCCCCCCCCCCCAACATGGGGCTCGATCCCAGGACCTGGAGATCATGATCTGAGCCCAAGGCAGACGCTTAACCATCTGAGCCACCCGGAGTCCCCAGGAAATATTTGTTAATGAACAAACTGCCTGTGATGAAGAATGGCGCCTCCATCCTTCCAGTCACTCGGACTATCAGGCTCTCCTCTCTAATCAAGTCCTCTCTTATACCTCACATGAGATCAGTCAGCAAATCCTGTACTTACCTAGAACCCACTGTGTCCCTTCCTCCCACTACCCTGACTCCATCCCCGCATCCGGGCTTCCCACTTGGCGGGGAGCAGCCACCCCTCACTGCCCTCCTGCTCCTGAACCTCACAGGCTGTTGCTCTCACACAGCCAGAGGGACCCTGGCAACACCTGAGCCGAATCATGATCTCTGTCTGCTCAGAAGCCTCCTGTGGCCCCATCTTACATGGAATAAAACCAGTCCTCATTGTGGCCCTTGAGGCCCTGTGTGTCCCAGCCTGTGACCTCCCTGGTCCCATTCCTCTCTCTTCTCACCCTGGCCTCCTGGGTGCTTCTCAAACACATATACTCAGATCACTCCTACCTCAGGGCCTTTGCATGAACTCTTCCTTCTCCCCAGATGCTTTTCCCCAGATGTCTACATGACTACCTCCCTCCTTTGGGACCTTCCTCAAATGTCATCTCAACGAGGTCTCCCTGACTGCCATGTCTACAATTTCGGTCACCACTGCCACCCCCAATCAACACCCCACCCACATCCTCCTCCTCTATGCTTTATCTTTTCTCCTTCTCACTCACATACCACATTTGACTAATTTATCTTAGCAACTGTGTTTCCCACCCCCTCCTAGAATGTCAGCCCCACATAGATAGGACCAGGCCAGAGGAGCTGGACTATGAATTGGAGAAGGAAGGTCAGGTCTCGGGTCTGGGACAGAGAGGATGTCAGTATTGGGACAGGGAGGTGGGGAGGATTTTAGGGCCAGGAGGTGGGGAGAGGCATCATGGGCAGGGAAGGGGAGACATTCAAGGCTGGGAGTGGGGGACACGGGAGACCTTAGCGACAGGAGAGTGTCCAGGGGTGGGGGAAGCTCGGAGAAGACGAGGAGGAGGGATATGGCCATACTGGGGCTGCCCCACTCACCTTGACCCTGAAGGGGCAGCGGGTCTGGTCCACCAGCATGATGTTCTCGGGCTTGAGATCGGCATGGATGATCGCCAGCTCCTTGAGCCGGGCCAGGGCTCTGAGCACCTGCAGGGTAACTGTGCGGATGTGGCGGGCAGGCAGGGGTGCGAAGTTGTTCTCCTTCTGGAATTCGAACAGGTTTTGCTCCAGCAGCTCGAAGACCAGGTAGAACTTGAGGGCATCATGGAAGAACTCGAGGAAGCGGATGACGTGGGCCTCCTCGGGGTCCAGGCCCCGCATACACCGCAGCAGCTTCAGCTCGTTCTTGATGATGCGGTTGCGGTAGGCGTCATTCTTGAGGATCTTGATGGCCACCATCTCCCCCGTGCTTCGCCGCCAGCCCTTGGCCACCTCCCCAAAGGTGCCCTTGCCCAACACCTCGATGATGTCATAGCAGTCGGTCTCAGACTGGATGGTGGCCATAGTGCCCCGGCCCCCAGGCGCAGCCCTGCCACTGCCCCCGCCCCACAGGCTCTGCCTTCGAAGGCTTCCGGCCCGCCACCGGCTCTGAGGCCCCCCCAGCGGGGGAAAGAGAACCGCACTCGTGCCTCCCGCTTCGAGGTTCACGCCCACCTCCCTGGCACCCCCCAGCCCCCTGGGCCACACTGCCAGTCTGCCAGGGGCCACACCCCTCCCCCGAAGCCCTCCTGGCTTGGGACGAGGGGCCCCAGGCCCCCCCGAATGGGTTCCAGCGTTGCTGAGTGGCTCTGGTTCTGTTGTTGGAGACCTGAGCCCCAGGCTGGAATGGGGGGTGGGGTGGCCGGTGGAGCCCCCTCCCCCACCCCAGCGTCGGAATCCTGGAGGGGCTGGCCAGGTGAAGGGTCGACAGAGAAGGAAGTCCAATCCCGGACCTCTGGCAGGGGGAACTGGGACATTCCTAAACAGAGGTGAAGAGCTTGGGGGATGTGTGTGTGTGTGTGTGTGTGTGTGTGTGTGTGTGTGTGTGTCCCCATGTGAGCAAACACCTGCCCCTACCCAAGGATGCCATGGGGGGAGGGGTGCGGCTCAAGCCAGGCCAGCTGGTAAAGGGTCTTGAATGCCAGGCTAAGGAGTTTGGACTCATCTCTCTGAGGGCCCTGGGGAGCCACAGAAGGGCTCTGAGCAAGAGAGTACAGGGTCAGATTTAAATGTCAGAAAGCTATCGAGCAAATAAGAGTGGATCAGAGGGGACAAGAGTGGAGGCCTGGACCCTGGAGCAGGGCGTGCGGGGGGGAGGCTGGTGTATGAGACTGGCGGCCAGGAGGGCAGGCTATAGGACTGATAGTTTGGTGGGGGAGAGGGAACCATCCAGAACAAGGCCCAGGTCTCAGGGATGGTCCCTGGAACAGGGACATGGATAAGGAACACCTTAGGGGAGCAGATGCTGATGTCAGGTTAGACAAGTCTGGAGTGCTTTAGAAGCCTTAACCCGTCCTTAAACATACATTTTATTTATTTTTTTTTAAGATTTTATTTATTTATTTGACAGAGAGAGATCACAAGTAGACAGAGAGGCAGGCAGAGAGAGAGAGAGAGAGGGAAGCAGGCTCCCTGCCGAGCAGAGAGCCCGATGCGGGACTCGATCCCAGGACCCTGAGATCATGACCCGAGCCTAAGGCAGCGGCTTAACCCACTGAGCCACCCAGGCGCCCCCTTAAACATACATTTTAATAGCAACATTTATGGAAGAGAAAAGACGCAAAGAAGTTGAAAAAATGCCGAAGGCCACCCAGTTGGGTGCCAGCGACAGGCTTTGACCCCAAGCAGTCTGACTCTAGACCCAAGCTCCGAACCACTGCCGCGTCCAGCGGGGGCACTCAAGGAACACTAGGTTCCCATGTGGACCACAGGGAGGGTGACATGGCCTGGGGACGGGGTGGAGGTGGCTGAGGGCCTCACAAGAGTCCTGAGGGCCCAACGGGCATGAGGAGAGAGAGGAGTGGGGAAGAGAGAAGAGAGTGTTTAGAAAGGAGAAAGGGACCCTGAGAAGTCAGGACAAGGGAGACAGAGGAAGCCCTCAGCATGGCCATAGAGAAGTCACCATAGACACTGACAGGTCAGCCGTAGTGGGAGGGAAACACCAAGTGGGGGGAGGGGAGGGCTGGGCAAAGAGTATGCGCCAGAGGTATAAGTCACTCCTGCCATGTCTGGTGGGGATGACGAGAAAGCACGTGACCAGGTGGTGACCCAGGGGAGGTCAGCTTTAATGGAGAAGATACTAGAGTAAGCCAGTGGTGTGTGACAACTCAAGGGCATGGCTGGATGTGAGGAGAGCAGACAGACGGATACTGGGGCGTCAGGGGGACACTTGGGACTGGACAGAGTATCTTCTTGTCCCAGCCTGGGCCACCGCAGAGAGATGCGGGGGAGTCTGGAGCTCCTTGGTGGGGGCTTAGGACCTGCGTGGGGATGGGTCCCTGGGAGCCAAGGCCCAGCCAGCCCTGATGGGAGCTGAGGACGCTGGGACCTAGTCCTAAGAGGACTGGAGCCTGGAGAGGGAGCAGGAGGGGCCTTCCTGGGTGGGGCCGGGCCGGATGGGGCAGTCAAACCTGCCAGACAGGAAAGCAATCCCCGGGATGTGGAGGTGGCCTTGTCGAGGAGAAGGTGGCCAGCAGAGGTCACATGCGTAGCAATTGTGCTGCTCTCTCAGGGCCCCCCAGGGAGGTCCTGGTGGGAGAGGCCTCAGCCTAGGGATCTGGCTCAGAGGCCCTGGGGAGTTCTGAATGGCTAGGGCAGGACCCACTGCTAATCTTTCCTGACTCTCTTCAGACCTGGGGTGGCCCGGTGTCTGCCAACAGAGGCCCTCCTCAGGCCAGGCTCCAGCAGGCCCCCTCCTTGGGGACCTCTTTCCCTGCACCCTCTCCACCCTCCCCTGTTCCTCCGCCACACACACACACACACACACACACACACACAAGAAACCCAACACAAGGCTCCTCTGGATTATTTTATTCACATGGTTCGGCAAGATACAGGCCCTCCTGCCAGTGAGCCAGGCATGAGGCCTCCCTGGCCCGGTCCCGGTCAGTCAGCCACCTCCCGGCCCTCTGAGGCGTTAGTGCTAGTTATCTCACACACAAAACAAGAAGGAGGCAGGAATAGGGAATGGGAGGGGACGTTCCCTCTGCTCTGGGGCTTTAGACGACAGCAGCCTGAGCCCCCTCCATCCTGGCAGGGCCTGGAGCCCCTGTCTCTGAAAACCCCACACTGGGCAGCCGAACCCGGAATCCACCCTCTTCCTGGTCCCCACTCCCACTCCGGGCCTTGGGGCTTAGGGACACCCGGGGGAAGCGGAACTTGGGTGACTTCTCCCCACCAGGGGACTTGGGGGCTGCCTCGCCCTCCTGGCCCCGAGAGGCCTTAGACGGGGTGGCCAGGCCCACACGGGGCAAGCGGACCCGGACTCTGCCTCGGCGCCCAGAGGCCCCTTCCCCGCCACCCTCCTCCTCTTCCTCCTCGGGGCTGGGGGAGCTCTCCCCAGGGACTGCCTCGCTCTGGCTGAAGCCCACTCGTGGCAGCCTGAGTTTGGGGCTCTTGGTCTTCTCACCCTCTTCAACGCCCTCCTTGGCCCGAACCAGGCCAAATCGGGGCAGCCGCACCTTGAGCTTGTGTCCGGCCTCCCCGTCGCCCTCTGCCACCTGGTACTCAGCATGGCCACCCACGGTGGGTGGGGAGATCTCGACGTCGGGTAGTGAGAGGTGGAAGGTGCGCTCGGCCCCTGGGGACTGGTCTCCAGACCCCTCTTCCCCAGCCTCAGCTCTGGCCCCCAGTGTGGGCATCTTCAGGCTCAAGCCCCCCTCGCCTGTGGCTGCCTCACCCACCTGCGCCTCTCGGCCCAGCCCCACGTCCAGCTCAACCTGGGGCACCGACACAGCAGGCATCTTGAAGACGCCCTCACCTACCAACAGCTCGCCACCTGCCACCTGGGCTCCAGGCAGAGACAAAGTCACCTGAGGCACCTGGACCCTGTAGCCTGCTGCACTCTCCACTGACAGGGCTGCACCCTTGACCTGTGGTCCAGTGGTGGTGCCCAGGCCGGCCTCCCCGAAGCCAGACAGCTCGACCTGGGGCAGGGAGATGCCCAGGGGCATCCTCAGCGCCCCCTCCTGGCCCTCAGTGCCTGCCGGCCTGGTCACGGACACTTGGGGGCCTGACAGCCGTTCGCCACTGACAGCTACTACCGCCTCAGCCCTCCCTTCCTCCTGGGCCCCCAGGGTGACCAGCTCCACCTCAGGGATCTTAAGCTGCCCAGCCACGGACTCGGGCTTTTCTCCTGGGCTGACATGCCCACCCTGGATTTCAGCTTCCTTCCCCCGAGCCAGCCCAAAGGAGGGCATCTTCAACTTGGGCATCTTCACCTTCCCATCCCAACCCCAGCCCTTGCCCTCCAACTCGGCCACCCCTGGCGCTAGTTCTCCTGCCTCAGCATCCCGGCCCCTGACCCCAAACTTGGGCAGGACAAACCTCGGCCCCTTGACCTTGACGTCAGCCCCTGCCACCTCCACCTTGCCTGTGGGCAGACGGGCGTCCAGGCTGAGCTGCGGGATGGACAGATCGAGGGCAGGCAGCAGGCCTGCCTCCCCTGCCCCTTTCACTTCAGCCTCAGTCCCCGCTCGGGCCTTGGGGAGTGAGATGGCGAACTTGGACACCTTCAGCTTGGTGGCTCGCCCAGCCCCCTCAGCCTCTGCCTTGGCCACCTTGGGCCCCGAGAGTCCAAACTTGGGCAGGGAGAACTTGGAGGAGGGCTTGACTTTCATCTCCATCACCTCAAGCCGCCCCTCCTCTACTTCCACAGTGGGCAACTGTGGCGTGACGATTTCAACAGAGGGCATTCGGAAGGCCACTTCCCCGACCCCTGCGGCCACCCCAGGGCCCTCTGCCCGCTCCACCTTGCCCACTTCGGCTGCTGGGACCTGCCCCTCCAGGCTGAGGGCCCTCGGCAGGTCTAGCTCCACGGAGGGCAGTGTGAGAGTGGGGACGCCCACACGAGCCTCGGGACCTACCTCTGGCTGCAGACAGGGCAGTGTCACCCGCTTCCCAGAGACCTCAGCCCCTGCCTCGCCTGCCTTGCTTTGCAATGGAGACTCTGCCCTCCCTAGCTTGGGCATGGTCATCTTGGGCATCTTGAAGCCAAATTCCATCCCCTCTGCCTGCTCGGCTTTTAGCTGCACCTCCGGAGCCTTGGGCAGCTTCACCTCGGGCGCCTTCGGAAGATGCACCTCTGGGACCTTGGGCACCTGCATTTCTGGCAGTCGAATCTCTGACACCTTTGGCAGCTGCACCTCCGGGAGGTGGACCTCGGGCACAGCCATCTCGGGCACCTTGGGGAGTTTTATCTCTGGCAGTTTCATCTCAGGGAGCTTCATCTCGGGGAGCTTCATCTCAGGGACTTTCGGCAGCTGCACGTCGGGGAGCCGCACCTCGGGCACAGCCATCTCCGGCACCTTCGGGAGCTTCATCTCTGACACTTTGGGGAGGCCTACCTCTGGGAGTTGCACATCTGGCACGGCCATCTCTGGCACCTTCGGGAGCTTCATCTCGGGGAGGTGCACGTCAGGGAGCCGCACCTCGGGCACGGCCATCTCTGGCACCTTCGGGAGCTTCATCTCGGGGAGCTTCATCTCGGGGGCTTTGGGGAGCTGCACGTCGGGGAGCCGCACCTCGGGCACGGCCATCTCTGGCACCTTCGGGAGCTTCATCTCGGGGAGCTTCATCTCGGGGGCTTTGGGGAGCTGCACGTCGGGGAGCCGCACCTCGGGCACGGCCATCTCTGGCACCTTCGGGAGCTTCATCTCGGGGAGCTTCATCTCGGGGACTTTGGGGAGCTGAACGTCGGGGAGCCGCACCTCGGGCACGGCCATCTCTGGCACCTTTGGGAGCTTCATCTCGTCGAGCTTCATCTCGGGGACTTTGGGGAGCTGAACGTCGGGGAGCCGCACCTTGGCACGGCCATCTCCGGCAACTTCGGGAGCTTCACCTCAGGCCCTTTGGGCACCTTGACCTCAGGGGCTGAGACCCCAAGGCCAAACGAGGGCATCTTGATGGTGGGCAGCTTCAGCTTGCTCTCGACAGCAGCTTCGGCAGCAGTCGGCCGGGGCTCCAGGAGCGAAAGCCCAAAGGTGGGCATCCGAAGTCTGGGCCCCTTCACCCTGGCCTCAGGGCTGCCCTTGGCCACCTTGGCCTCGGCGACTTCCTTTGCTCGAGTCCCGAATCGGGGAAAACTGAGGCGGGGCATCTTCAGGGCCACCTCAGGTGCCTCTCCTCGGGCCTCCACCTCCACACCTGGCAAGGCCAGGTCCACTCCTATGGCAGGCGCTGCCACATCCAGAGTGGGCACCGTCACGGCCGCAGCCCCTTCCCGGGTTTCCAGGCAGGGAAGTGTGGGCAGAGTGGGGAGCGATGGTAAGGTGGGCAGCTCCACTTGGGGGACCTGGATCCCTAGGGCCACAGGCTCCACAGCAGGGGCAGTGGGGGCTCCTAGTCCAAGGCTTGGCAGGTGGAGAGCCACCTCTCCCAGTCCCTTGGGGGCTGAGACCTGGGGGACACCGACCTCGGCGCCTGGCAGCCGGGGCCCAACCAACTCCACCTGGGGGGCTGTGAAACGGGCTCCTGCTGCCACCTCAGCCTCCACTTTGGCTTTCCTTGGGGGAGGAGCAGCAGCGGCCAGCCGGGCTGCCTGGGCCTCTTCTGCCACTTCTCGGACGCGCAGCCGAGGCAGCTGGAGGCGCCGGCGGGCTGGGGCAGCTGGGACGGGACCCTTGGGAGCCTCGGCTTTGAGGCCCCGACGCAGACGGGAGAACTTGGGAAAGGAGAATTCGACGTCAACAGGGGCCAGGTCTGCAGGGGCCCCCAGGGCCCCGGGCATCACCATCTTCTTCTTCTTCACGGGGGACAGACTCTGGATGTTCTGGGGAGAGAGGAGAGATGCGGGAGGCAGTGGGACAGTGGGAGGCTCGGGGAAGACAGGGGCAACCCCATCTGGCATTGCACCAGGCTGGGGATGTGTTGGATGAAGCATCTTGTCCCCAAAACACCAGCCCCACTTCCTTCCTGTCATTTCACAATTACTGCCCCGGTAAGGCACAGACATTCATTTAGCAGCTGACAATGAGTCAACAGGAGTGTAGGAACTGGGACCCAAGACTACTAGGTCCTCATCCAGGATTTTCCCCAATACCTTCATTCTAGAGATGGGGAAACTGAGGCCCAGAAAGGGAAAGAAACTGGTCCAGGGTCACTCAGCAGTAAGTTAGCAGCACTCAGGCTTGAACCTGGCCTTGCTGGTTTGGAGTTCCCTGGTTCAGGACTACCGGCAAGCCTAGAGCTAATAGCTCTCCAAAGTGGGTAAAGGCCCTGGTCTGAGACAGGTGGGTCCCCCTCCCCAGGGAGGAGTTTAGGGGTAGAGAACAGAAGGCAGACAGTGGGATTAGCGTTGGGTTAGTGATAAGACGGCCCACGGTGTGGAAGAGTAGGGCTCAGGGCGCAGAGACTGGATCGCTGGGGCAGTCCAGAGCCGGCGCCGGGCTAAGCACGCGTACCAGCTTGGCCACCTTGGCCCGTGGGCCCTTGATCTCGTAGCCGGCCACGGTGCCAGGCCGCAGCGCCAGGTCCCCGGTGGGCACAGTGCGCTTCAGACAGAAGGAGACCTTGTAAGGCTCGGCACATTGCAGCAGACGTAGTGCGTCCTCGTACTTGAAATTCTCGAAGAACACACGGGCGCTCAGTAGTTGGTCTCCTGTAGGCAAGGTGGATGTGGGCAGGGCGTGGGCATCTGCTGGCTCCACCTAGGCCTGGTTCCACCCACTTCCCTGGAGCGACCTCAGCAAGGCTGGCGGGCCCCAAACCTTGGCCCCGCCTATCCTCCCCGCCCCCACCCCCAGTACAGACTTGAGAAGCGAAGTCCTCCCAGTTTGAGATCCAGACAGGCTCAGGTGAAGCCCCGCCCCATGGCCTTAGCCCCGCCCCTGCCGAACAAATCCCCTCCCATCCAAGCCACGCCCATTGCCTTTCCACTTCCCTCCCCCATTCTCACATTTTACTTTATTTTTTATAAAGATTTTATTTATTTATTTGAGAGAGAGACAGAGATAGCAACAGAGAGAACAAGCAGGGAGGAGAAGGAAAAACAGGCTCTCCGTTGGGCAGGGAGCTCCATGTGGACCTTGATCCTAAGACGCTGGGATCATGACCTGAGTGGAGGACAGACACCCCCCCCCCCCCCCGCCCAGACGACTGAGCCATCCAGGCACCCTCCCCATTCTCACATTTTATTTTATTTTTTAAAGATTTTGTTCATTTATTTAAGAGAGCAAGAAAGCACACAAGTAAGTGGGCAGAGGGGCAGAGGGAGAGGGAGAAACAGAGTCCCTGCTGACCAGGGAGCTGGACTCAGGGCTTGATCTCAAAACTCTGGGATCATGACCTAACCCCAAGGCAGAAATTTAGCCAGTGGAGCCACTCATGCACTCCCCTATTCTCACATTTTAAGATATTGACTTTGTTTACTGAGAGGACAGAATCAGACCTTCCAGAATCTTCCACGCCATACTCACCCCCCAGTTCCTGTGGCTATTCACTCCACTCTCCACCTATTTCTAAGGATGAACCGTCCCCACTTCCAACTCAGGTCAGCCTTTCCACCACCTTCTCAGGGACATCCTCCAGCAGTTCTCCCCTCTCTCCCCACATCACCAATTTGTCCCTTTCTTCTGTGTTATCCCCATATGCATACAACATACCATTATTTGCCCCATAGGAAAAGTTATCTTGACCTCACTCCTGGAGCTCCTGCTCCATTTATCTGTTCACCTTAATGACAAATGCACTGAGTTGTCTAGCTGCATCACTTTCCACGTCTCCAATCACACTTCTGACACCCGTTTCCAGAAACTTGAATGGCCCCTCTCAAGGTCCCATACGTCTGTATAGCTAAGCCCAGTGATCAAGTCCCAGACTTGATTTGAGGGGACCTCACAGACTTTGACCTAACATCACTCTCTCCTTCATTCATTTGTCTGGCTTGGGTTCCAGGGTAAGACACACCCTCTAGAACCTCCTGGAGGTTTCTTCTCAGCCTCCCCACCTCCTGGATCTCTTAATGACACACTGTCCCAGAGCTCAGGTCTTGGGCCCCTTCTCATCTCTGTCTCCATGCTATATTCACCCCTTTAGGAAGCTCACCCAGATTAGGAGTTTAAAGACCATAAATGGGCTGACAACTCCCAAGTCCATTTCTCCAGTCCAGCACTCTCCCCTCCATTCTAGACTCATATATCCACTTCCCCCTCCACAGCTTCACCATGGCATCCAACAGATATCCTTCACTTGACAGATCCAAACTGTTCTGGCCTTACTCCAAACAAGCTCCAGCCCCAGTGTTGCCCATTTGTGGAACTAGCAACTCCAACCTCAGGTCAAGAATCCCTGGACACATCCTTGACCCTTCTCTTTTCATCACACCCCATATCCAGTCCTGAAGGCTCCTCCTTTAAAATATATCCAGAAAAAAAAATAATAAATAAAATAAAATATATCCAGAATCCAAACCTTTCTCTTCATGCCCATTAACACTGTTTTGTGTCTGAACATCACCATGTCTTACCTGGATAATCAGAGTAGCCTCTGTGTGTGTGTGTGTGTGTGTGTGTGTGTGTGTGTGTGTGTGTGTACTTATTTATTTAAAGTTATCTTGGGGCACCTGGGTGGCTCACTTGGTTAAGCATCTGCTTTTGGCTCAGGTCATGATCCCAGGATCCTGGGATTGAGTCCACATCAGGCTCTCTGATTACTGGGGAATCTGCTTCTCCCTCTTCCTCTGCTCCTCCCCCCACCCCTGCTAGTTCTCACTCTTTCAAATAAAGTTAAAAAAAAAAAAAAAAGTCTTAGGGCGCCTGGGTGGCTCAGATGGTTAAGCAGCTGCCTTTGGCTCAGGTCATGATCCCAGGGTTCTGGGATTGAGCCCTATATCCGGCTCCCTGCTCAGTGGGGAGTCTGCTTCTCCCTCTCCCTCTCCCTCTCCCTCTGCCTGCTGCTCCTCCTGCCTGTGCTTTCTCTTCTGTGTCAAATAAATAAAAATCTTAAAAAATAAAAATATAAAAATAAAAACGTTTTAAAGATTTTATTTGTTTGAGAGAGAGTACATGCACAAGCAGGGAGTTCTGTGCTGTCCCACTCACAACCTTCCCAGATTAAAAGCCAAAATTCTCACCATGGCCTATGAAGCCCTCTGAAAACCAGATGGCCATACAGCTCACTCCCTTCCCTCCACCGGGCCTTTCCTCCCTTCCTGGCTCACCCTATTTAAAAATACAACTGTCCTACAGGCACGCACAGCACACAATGCCTTCTAGTTTACTATGTGTTTTACATATTTTGGTCAAATATATCTCTCCCTTCTAGAAAGTAAGCATAAATGCAGAGAGTGTGTTCTGTTTTGTTCACTATAGTAGCCCAAGCACCTAGAATCGTATCTGGAAATAGAAGGCACTTAGTAAATAGTTGTTGCATGAATAAATCACATCGGCCTCATCCATGTCACTTAAAATATCCCTTACTTACTAAGACTCCCTCCAAGTTAACTCCACCTCTTTTCTCCAGGCCCAAAAACAAAAATAACTAGTGCTTACACGGTGCTTACTGTGTGCCACTTAGCTATGCGCTAAGCATTTTCAACTACTGACTCACTTGATCCACGTAATAACCCTGCGAGGTGAGTACTAGAATTATTCCCATCTTCGAGATGGAAAACCCAAGGCACATAAGATCACAAGCTAGCTGCAGATCTCGAAGTCAAACCGACACTATATGAGCCTCCAGAGCCCGCTCTTAGCCACTGCCAGGCGGACACACAAAGCCCCGCCCCAAGCCACTCTCCCCGCCTCCTGGGAGCAGGCCACGGCCGGGACCTGGGGCGCACTCCTAACCCCGCCGCCTCCGAAAGGCGCCGCCTCCGAAAGGCCCCGCCGCAAGCTCCCGGCCCGCCCACCTTCCTGCAGGCTGAGGCTCCTGGCCGCGGGCGAGTCCTCCCGAAGCTCGCGGACAAAGATTCCCTCTTTGCCGCCGCCTGCTACGTTGATACCGCTGACCCCGGTCTGCGCCTCAGTCTCCACGATGATCTCCACCAACTCCGCCCGCCTCAGCTCCTGCGGAGGGCAGCGAGGGGTCGCCATGGGGCGCTGGTGCCGGACCTCGCCCAGAGTCCGGCATCGCGCTTAAAAGCGGCTCTTAAAAGGGTCCTCCAGTTACACGACCCTGCGCGCGGCTCCGGCCAGCCGTGCGGGCCCACCCACTCCGACATCTTCCCTTTGAGGAAGCGCGAGGGCCGCCTGCTCTCTCGCACCAGCGGCAAGGCTCAACGGCTCGGTCCACTGCTGTCGGCCGGAGCCCTGGGGCCGGGGTCGAAGGGGCGGGGTTATAGACGAGAAGCCGAGTAGCGAGGCGGGGGGAGCGGGGGTATGTGCGAGAGGGGAGGGCCCGATAGGGCGGGCTCTGTTCTCGGGGGCGGGACCAGTTCGGGGGCGAGGCTAGGGGTTGGGCTTGTGAACAGACCGCTCGCGCAGGTAGAGCTCAGGCCACAGAGGAGGGGCCAAAAATCTGGGAGGGGTGTGGCAAGAGAGTAATACAGGAAGGTAAGGCGGGGATCCATAGGGTGGGACTGAGGTATGGAAAAAGGCTTTAAAAACAGCCCAGCAAGGGGTGGGGTGAGGATGGGCTTCCGAGGAAAGTGCTGGATCTTTAAGTGGTGCAGGATGAAGGGGGGAGGTTGAGACTGGGCTCTTCAGAGGCCTGAACGCTTGTGAGACTATGCCCTATTGTGGACTCTGTGACCCCAAGACCTGCATAACGCCTTTGGGAGAGAGAATCCAGTGAAGAAGAGGGGTGCGTGGGTGATGAGTAGTGGACCAGCAGACATGGCATTCCTGGTATTCACTTTAAATGGTGCTGTCCTGGCCCTGGCCCAGCAGCGCCCGTCGGGATTCACATCCGGGATTTAGAAAAGGCCGTGAGAGACCCCAGTTCCACACCGGTCTAGGAACTCAATCTGCTGTGTGTTTCTGGGGGAGAACTTTGCCCTCTCTGGGCCCATGGGTGACATGGGTTTACGGAAGGAGTCCCTGTGAGCTGAGACCTGAAGCAACAGGGATCCGAGGATGCTGTAATGGGCGGGGCATCGGGACTGGGTAGATTGGAGTTGAGCCCAGGGCTTGGAGAGGGTTACGGCAGCAGGTCGAGGCTGGCAGTGGCCCTGGGACTAGAGGGCTGGGAGGAGCATGTTGAGAGGAGGTGAGAAGAGTTGTAGAGGCAGCTGGGAACAGCAGGAACATGACCACCTCCCCAAGGCCCTGGGCTAAGCATTTTACCTACAGCATCTCATTTCATCCTCCTCACAGCACGGACAGACACAAAGGTAAAGAGAAGCGGAGTGATTTGCCTAATGCCACACAGCAGAGTTAAGCAGCTAGGCTTAAACCCCCGTCTGTGACCTCAGAGCCCCTAGGCCATCCTGGAGGCAGTGAGTGACCTCCTTGGCCTTCCCCCCGGCCTGCCACCCCTCGGATTCAGCTTGGCTCCGGGAAAAGTAGACCCAGTCTGTGCCTAGCATCCTGTACGAAGTGGTCGATGCGGGTCCTCTAGCGCCATAACAGTGACCATTGTCCCATTTCACCAATGGGAAAACAGGGTTTGAGAGGTCAGGTCCCCTGTTTGGAGCTGCACAACCAAAGTGGGGGGTTGGCATTTAAGCCCAGGAGCTCAAAGCTCACGTATTTAACCCCCATAGCAGCCTGCCTCTTCCAACAAAAAGTTTCTGCCCAATTTTCTTTAGCCCGTTATTAATATAACTCCGTTAAGCCCCCAATGAATTCGCTGCTTGGACTCTCAGTTTGTACCAGGCACTGCTAAGCACTTTCCATATGTTCAAATTCTTTTCCTCCCAGTGACCTATAAAATAGGCACTGTCACTATTTCTATTTCACGGATGGGGAGACTGAGGCACAGAGAAACCAGGAAGTGTCTTCTTGCTGCCTCAGTCTGTGCCCCCTACCTGCCCCCCGCCCCCAGGTTCCCCTTGCAGGGCATGTGAGTGCTCACCTCAGCGCTCCGGCTCCTGGCCTCCATGGCACAGCTGGGAGTCACCCGAGCCCCAGGCTCCTGCTTCCTCTCTCCCTTCTGCTGCAGAACCAGCTTTAGCTCTGCATGGAGCAGCTGCCTCTGAGCCTGTGGGGGACAGGAAGGGAGGCTTGAGGCCAGGAGAGTGGCGAGGAGGAAGCCAGGTGTGGAGGGAGAGGCCAAGACGGATATCAGAACAGGAGAAGGGCCCCCCACCCCTTCCTCTCACCGCTGCCTGGGCACAGGCACCCCCGCCTAACAGGAGCCCAGCCTGGGGTGTAGCACAGGCACAGTCCTCTGCGGGGCTCACACCCTTCCTCTGGGGTCTTGCTACCTGTCAGGAAGAGACCAGGGCATGAGGCTCCAAGCAGGCCGGGGAGGGATTGGTGGGGAGGGGGGTGGGCATGTGGCACCGGCCAATGCTCACCTCAGGGTCTCGGCCAGCTCCTTGGGCCTCCTGGGTCCGGGGCTCTGAGAAGAAGAACGTGAGCATTACCATCAGCTAACCCCACCCATTCCTTCCTTTTTTTTTTTTTTTTTTTTTTAAGATTTTTAAAATTTATTTGACAGACAGAGATCACAAGCAGGCAGAGAGAGAGGAGAAAGCAGGCTTCCCTGGGAGCAGAGAGCCCGATGTGGGGCTCGATCCCAGGACCCTGGGATCATGACCTGAGCTGAAGGCAGAGGATTTAACCCACTGAGCCACCCAGGCATTCCCCACCCATTGCTTCCTGAGTGCCGGATGCTTCCTGCGCTCTGTCAGGATCCCATCCCCACAGTGCAGGGGCGGGGGGGGACTGAGGCCTAGAAGGCCTTTATTGGCCAACAAACAGTAAAGTAAAGCCAGAGCTGACTCCTAGGACTACCTGAGAGTAGAGCCCCTGCGCCAACCACCTGGGTCGACCGAGAGAGCCAAATTCACCATAAAACAATCCTAACCACTCCCCTGTCCTCCCTGTGGGCCAATCACCTCACCTCTCTGGGCCTCAGCTTCCTCATCTGTTAAATGGGGAGAAGAACAGCACCTACTACGTCAAAGAAGTGGGTAAATACAAAATGCTGGGTACATGGAGGGGCTTCAGAAGCCCTATTATTATTACTGAGCACTTCCTGTGGTCCTGATCTTGTGACAAATGTCCCACAGGGGTCATTCATTGCCCCTAAACCTCAGAACACTCTTGTGAGGTCAAGAGAGTTTTCGAGCCCATTACAGAGAAGATGCCTGAGGCTGGGAGAAGGACAACCACAAATGGTCATGAGTGGCTGAGCCAGGATTTGAACTTATCTGAGAGTTCCAGACTTTTCTACAGGTGATGGTAACTAATGGGTACTGAGCGGTTATTCTTTGTCAGTCCTGTGCTCCGCCTCCTCCCTGTGTAAAACCCACAGCTCCTCAGAGAGGCCAAGAATCTCGCATAAAGTCACACAGCCCAGTGAGAAGGAGGCAGAACTGGGATTCCCATGCCTCCTCCCCAACAGGCCTTTCTGGGGAAAAGGGCATGGATACTGTCTCTCCACATTCCCTCCCCCTTGGCCGACGCTGGCCTTGTCCTCCCAGCCCCCACCTGGCATGCCAACCCTCCAACCCCCACTCTACCGGGAAAGGTCAGGCCTCACGCGGCACATTCCCTCAAACAATGGCCCATCTGCTGTGCCCAGTCACATTCCACCCCTGCCCACCCACCCCCAGCCGCACAATGGCCCTTCATAGCCCACCACTGGCCAGGATAGAGGACACAGGGACCCCTCAATGGTCCAGCTGTACCCACTCCACTGGCAGGGACCCCACAGTACCAGAGGGCTTCTCCCTGGCCCTCCTAGGAGTCCTGGTCTCTGTGGCCTTCCCCAGTCTCCCCTCTGAGACCTCAGCTGCTCCAGGTCCCACATCTGTGGCATTTCCTACAGACTAGCCCCAGTGCGGATCCCCCTAGGTCTCTGAATCACCCTGAATATGGTGGTTGTTTTAGGGTTGGAAACTGAGGCTGAGAGAGGGGAAATGACCTGTCTAGGGTCACACAGCCAAGACCCTACCCTTGACCCCAACTCTGGACCTGAACTTTCATTGGTGGCTCTGAGCACTGGAGAAGCCCCAAGCAGCAAAAGAACTGCGGCAGGGGCTGGGCTGGGAAGGGAGGTGGGGATTGAGGGTGCCCCAAACAGGCATTTTTAAAGGTAACTCCTCGGCCAACCATGGGCTAGGCAGGCACTTTATAGATGTGGCCTTGGTACCCCATTTTACTGATGAATAAATGAGGGTTAAGACACCACAGTGGCAGGGGCGCCTGGGTGGCTCAGTGGGTTAAAGCCTCTGCCTTCAGCTCAGGTCATGATCTTAGGGTCCTGGGATCTAGTCCCACATCGGGCTCTCTGCTCAGCAGGGAGCCTGCTTCCTCCTCTCTCTCTTTCTGCCTGCCTCTCTGCCTACTTGTGATCTCTCTCTGTCAAATAAATAAATAAAATCTTAAAAAAAAAAAAAAAAAAGACACCACAGTGGCAGAGTTGGGACTTGAACCCAGGTCTGAAAAACTGAGTCCCTGACACCACATAGCATCCTGAGTGGGAGGTGGGAGAGCCTGATACTTGTAGGAGGTAGTGGAGATGGAAGGGAGGCTCTCCTGGCCTGCCAGTTCCCTGTCTCAGGCCAGGGCAGCAAGGGTCACACCCAAAGGCTGGCATAGGAAGCTTAGCCAGGGCGGGAGCAAGAGAGCGTGCCCTCCTCCCTCCTCCCTGCCGAGCCCAGGTTATATTTAGCCCATCTGTGCCCTTCCTGAGCCATATACCCAGCTCCTGGGGTGGGGTAGGGGTGGCTTCGGAAGGAAGCCCCCCCAAATACACCCCGGGCACTCTCTGTTCCCAGCTCTGCCCATCCCATTAGGTGGGGCGGATGGGAGAAGGACAAGTGGGGGAAGGTTCCTGGTGGTCCCTGACTGTATTAGGGGAAGATCTTCTAAAGGGGTACCCCTGGTGACTGAAGGTCAGGCGGGACCCTCCAGATGCCCACAGCTATTCTTGAGTGGGTCCTGTGGCCCTGCCATGGTACATTCCTCAGCTTCCAGAATTCTCCCGAGTCCCCATTTCTTGAGCACTTACGATGCACAAAGATCCTTGCCCACCTTGGCTCATTACATCCTCAAAATACCTCCCTGAGGAAGGTGTGACTGAGAGTCCCATTTAAGATGTCACTGGTTTCCCTCAGAGCAGGCTGGGGGAGGGCCTGTCATTTGGGCCCTGGGCCCTTCAGCTGAGCGGGACCTGCTAAGGGATCCCCCATTTGGCACCCTCTTCTCCCCATGGCTGGTGCCAACCCCATATGAGAACGCTCCCCATCCAGAGCCTCAACTTCCCCAATCGCCAATGATGGGGTGCCCTCAGCAGTTAACAGGAGTTAACCTGACTTGTCTGGGCCCCTAGACATTCTGTTCGGACAGTGGCCTAGCAGCAGCCTCACTCCATCCCTGCTCCAGCACATCTCAGGTATGAACACCTGGGCGAGGTATTTCACCTTTCAGGGACTCCGTTTCATCCGCGAAACGGAGCCAGTATACAGTATACAGCCAGTATACAGTAAGCGCTCAAGTAATGTATGCTGGAGGGTGGGCTGTCTCATATCCAGCTCTTGCTCATCAGACTTTCTCTCTCACCCAAGGGGAACTCTGGGTGAGCGACAACAACCAGCTCAGGCACTGGCCTCCTACCACCAAGATCCCCAGCACCCTATTCCAAGCACCAAAAAGCCGGCCCCGGCCTAGGCATCCTGCCCCAGCTCTCTGGAAGCAGCAACTCATCTACTCTCACACCAGCCCTGTGAAGAGGCCTCCGTCAGCCCATTTCACAGGTGGGATAGCAGAGGGACAAAGGGTGCAGTATCATTCCGAAGACCGCATAGCCAGAAACAGAGGAATTTTGGGATTTGAACCCAGGGTCTGGCTCCGAAGTCTGTGCCTTTATCTCCTATACCACACTACCTCTGAAGCCCCCCAAATGTCCTCCCAGCACAACCCAGCACTTCCCAGGACCCTAGGTCTCATTCCCACGGCTTCTCGGCCATTGCCAAGGATGGGGTAAGACCGGCTGATCTCTTACCACTGGGCCTCCAGACACCTCGAGAGCTCCCGGTCTGTCTACTCAGCCCCAGCCCCAGGCTGGGGGGGAAAAGGAATAGGGAGGGGGGAAGTGGGGGGAGACCCCCAGCCATTGGCTGCTGAGGCATGACATCACCAGGGAGTGGGTGGTGGGGAAACAAACATCCCCCCTCTCCCAGCTACATGCACGGGGAAGGGGGTGGGGAGCCTAGGCTGGCATAGGACAGAGACAGCTGCTGCCCTGGCCTGGGCTGAGACCTCTGCTGGAGCCTCTGTTCCAGAGACCTGCACGTCACTGCCTGCACTCGGAGGCTGACCACCCGACTAGCATTATGTCCTGGTTCCAGACCCAGGCACGGTCCTGCTGGTTCCTGGGGCCCCTAAAATAAAGTCCTACCGCTCCCTCTTTCTGTCCATTTGGATTCAAATCCTAGCCTAGTCACTTGCCGGCTGCCTGACAGCATCTTCCTGGGCCTCTTCTTCTTCATCTCTAAAATAGGGATAATAAAAATGCCCACCTCATGGGGCTGCTGCAAAGATGACAGGAGTTAAAAGAGGCTAAGAGCCTGGCATCAAGTGAGGCCACTTCCAAGAATTTTGCATTATTATTCACACAAATTAGGGGTCTGGCTAGACTTGTCGCTGGGTAGGGGGATCTTTAGGCCTGAGTGAGACTGGGCACAGAGGAGCCCCACTTCTCTGTTTCATGGAGTTTCCATGTTGAGGGTACATCTGTCGTGGGCTAAGTACTATACTGGGCACCCTGAGCTCTGCTCCCAGGATCCAGGGTTCAAGGTGAGCACATTATGCCCAGTATTTAGCTACCCAGCCAGGAAGTGGTAGAGCTGGGGTTCAACCCCACTTCTGCGGGGCCCCAGAGACCCTGTAACTCTCTTCTGTCCTCTTCATATAACAGACAAGGAGGCTCAGAGACAGTGACACCCAAGGTCGCCTGCAGCAAGTCACTGGTAACAACAGGCTTTGAACCCAGACCTGCCCAAGTCCTGAACCAAGGCCACCAGGCCTCACCCTGATCCCCTGACCCCCAACCCCAGCCTGCCCTGACTCACCAGACCCCGGGGGGCGGCAAAAGGAGCACAAGTACCCCCACATGCCCTTCGCGCCCACCGGCCGCTGGCTCCGATGCTCCCAGCTCTCTGAGCCCCGGCCTGGGGCCAGAGCTGGGATGAAACCGGGGATTACCCCCAAAGCACGCGTCAGCAGCTTCTGTCCCATTGTCCAGCCAGACACGGCCACCAGGCCTTCACCTCAGTTGTCAACCTTGCTCCTCGCACCAGCCCCCCAGCCCCTCTGGGGACCTGTACCCCACCCCGCACCGAGAGTTTGGGGCCTACTCCCGAGGGCACAGGGATCAAGCACAGGC